AGTCGGCTATAAGCGGGATAGGATATTTGTTTCTTACGGTGACTTTGTTTAGGGCCTTGTAGTCAACACATAAGCGTAAACTCCCATTATGCTTTTTCTGGAATAGCACTGGCGCTCCGAAAGGAGCCTTTGATGGTCAGATGAACCCGACTTGTAGAAGCTCATCTAACTGTTTTCTCAGCTCGGCCAACTCTGGAGGGGCCATGCGATAGGGAGCTTTAGCAGAGGGTTTTACTCCTGAGAAGAGCTCAATTTCGTGGTCCACTGCTCGTCGAGGGGGTAGAACCTTAGGCAGCATCTCTGGCATCACCTCTTCGAATTCTTCTAACACTTTCTTTACGCCATCGGGTATTGGTTCTACTTTCGACCCTTCTTTGTAGATCGGCATGGCCACAAACGAGGGTTCCCCTCTCTTTACCTTTTTCTTGAATTGCAAAGCCGAAATCATTTTCTTCCCACTCTTTGGTAAGATATTGGCTGGCACCACACATGGGTGCTCTCCTAAAAACAACAAGCAGCTAACCGTGGGGATATGGATCGCCTGAGCCAACGTCATGAAGTCCAATCCGAGAACTACATCAAAGTCATCCATAGGGGAGACTGTGAAGTCTACTTTCCCTTCCCATGGCCCTAATCGGGTTGTCACACTTTTTGAGCTTCCACTGATTGCAAAGGCTGGCGAATTGACCGCCTTCATTCGCCCACAGTCTTTACTAATCTGAAGACCACACCTCTTTGCTTCTTCTGGCGTGATGAAAGTGTCGGTTGCACCCGTATCCACCATGGCCTTGGTGGTTTTCTCATTGATCGTCAAGTTCACGTACATCAAGCCTCTACTTTGCTCTTTCTTTATAGTGTTCAATTGGGTGCGGAGGGCACTGAGGAACCTTATTGAGCCCATCCTGACTGGCTCTTTTTCAGCTTCTTCAACGCTCTCTGGCGCTTTCGCAGACTCTTAGGATGAGGTCCTTAAGGCATTCAGGGCTCCTCGGTAAGGGCATTCAGCCACTCGATGCGGTCCCTTGTAAAGAAAACAAGCTAGCGGTTGTCTGGGCCTGAAAATCCCCGTGTTGTTTGTCTTGGGCTGGGTGCTATCTCGCCCAAAGGACCTCCTATCTGATCTCCCACTGAAGGGTCGGTCCAACCTAGTGATCTTTCCCCCACTCCCAAGGTTAAAGCTACTGCCCGTTGATGGAGGATTTTTCCATTTTAAGGAGCCATCATTGTAATCATGAAGGCGTTCCGCTGCAGCCATGGCCGTGGCCACATCTTGCACTTTCTGCCTTTGTAGCTCTGTCCTCACCCACGGCTTGAGGCCCTCAAGAAAATAGAACATCTTGTCTTTTTCGAACATGTCCCGAATATCTAGCATCAAGGTAGAAAAGTTCCTTACGAACTCTCACACCGTTTCGGTTTGCACCAACTCTCGAAATCTCTTTCGAGCCATATACTCCACATTGTCCGAAAAAAATTGGTTTTTTAGCTCTCGCTTCAGATCCGTCCAAGTCTTATCAGACACTCGTCATCGACAAACTTGGAGCGCCACCACAACTTGGCATCCCCTACGAGGTACATCGATGCCATTGTCACATTGTCTTCCTCTGAACTGGTGTGTATAGCTCAGAAGTATTGTTTCATGTCGAACAAGAAATTCTCAAGTTCCTTAGCATCACTTGCCCCCTCATAGCATCGAGGCTCCGGCACCTTGGGTTTTTGTCCCCTGTCCATCGAGCTCGAACCCGATCTGGCCACAGCCAATTGTAGGATGCTCACCTGGGCCCTGAGCTCCTCAAACTCCTTTTGGAGAATGATCAAGGCATCTCTAGCTTCTTCGCTCACATTGTGGAGAGTATCGGACAACTCCCGTTGGGTTGTCTCGATCTCCCTCACTCGGTCTTTTGTCACCATATGAGTTTTCATAGCGGCCACCGCGACCTCTAGTTCCTCAATTCTCTGCTGATGATCCGGTCCACCACTTGTGGCCATCTCATCCATTTCTCTAGCACTTCTCAACCGTGCTCTGATACCACGTGTCACGGACTAAGCTTTCTCTCAACAAGCACTAGCCCGTGTGGCACTTGAATGGACGCTTCCACCCAAGTCAGCCTTCAATAGATCGAGATCTGAACAAATAACCATAAACCATGGTTAGTCTCAAGCATTCACAATAAGGCACAATATAGCGAGGTCAATCTCAAGCATACACACAACAAGGCACATTCACATCGAGAAAGAAAGAAACACATCGAGGTAACAATCGGGCATTCAATCGGGATAAATTATATTATAAACGGGAATCATACATCGGGACCTCCCACCATCACCAGGGCCAGGGGGCAGCCCTTGGTGGGTGGCCTAAGCTCGCATAGCACCCGGTGAGACAGCCCAACACTACGCTGCCGGCTCACCCCCCCTAAAGAGCCTTAGAACTTTTAGAGCTATGCTACCAGTAACCGTTACAATGTTTGAAATAGGGACACTTTTCCTAGTACAAGTGATCTACCCGACCATGACCCTATACAATGGTGGCTCATGGCAACCTAAGTCCTGGTCATGGCCCTATACAAGGGTGGCTCATGACACTGAAGGTGAGTCGGAAGTTAGTTTATATAGTTGTTAGATGTCTTTGTATTTTTAGAAATCTATTATTAATGCCATTATTATAATAATTTGCAATTAGGCATGGTAATTCTTTTATTTGTATTTATTTAATCGGTATTAAATATATAAAAAACATAAAAATTATATTATAATTTATGTTAATATGATAAATATAAAACTAATTTTTTATTAAATATATATATAATTTTTTATAAATATTTTAAGTCATGTTATTTTTATATTATTTTCGTATCTTATTATCTTTAAAATTATAATTTACTTTACAACTGTTACTTTGAGTTTTGCAAAAACAAAAAGGGGAAAAGTTTGCAGGCCCAAGTTACCGAAGTTGACGTGAAAAGGGCTCTCTGGTTCTTAAAACCTTCTGAGGCAGCAGGGCCTGATGAGATGCACCCTTTTTTATTTTTACCAAAAGTTATGGGAAGATGTCAAAGTTTAAGATCAACGCTTTATGTATGGAGGCTTTCAATAATGAGAAGTTGCAGGAAGGTCTGAACGATACTATAATTACCTTAATTCTGAAAAATCAAGCTCCTAATACTGTAAATCACTTTCGGCCTATTAGCTTGCTCAACACCACGTACAAAGTGGTGACGAATATCATGGTTTAAAGGTTGAGACCTTTACTAGACAAACTGATCTGGCCGCTCCAAGGCAGCTTCATCCGGAGGAGACAGGTCATTGACAATGTGATTATTGTGCAGGAAACAATTCATTCTCTGAAAATAAAGAAATGGAGGCAGAGAAATATGATTCTTAAACTCGATTTGGAGAAGGCTTACGACTGATTGGAGTAGGGTTTTATAAGAAAAGTGCTGACCTACTTCAAATTTCCGGAGAAATGGATATCCCTGATCACGGACTGCATTATTTCGTCCAGCATAGCCATTGTTGTTAATGGGGAGAAGCTCTCACAATTCAAACCCTCTAGAGGCATAGGGCAAGGGGATCCTTTATCCCCTTACATTTTTATTTTATGCATGGAATACCTCAGCCTAATAATTCAAGAAGCGTGCGAAGACAAGAAGTGGCATCCGATGCAGGTCTCAAGGAAATGGCTTGAGCTATCTCATTTGCTATTTGCGGATTATTTCATCCTATTCGCAAGAGCAGATAAGAAATCAATGGGCAGTGGCACAATCAAAAGGGTGCTGGACAAATTTATAGAGGAATTTGGACAAAAAGTGAGCACTGGGAAGTCCCGTATTCTCTTTTTCAAAAATACCAAAGCTGGGACGAAAGGCTGAATCACCACCACCTTGGATATTGAAAACACAGAGGAGCTTGACAAATATTTGGGTTTCCCCATGCATAAGCAGAGACAGCGAAAGCAGAACTTCAACTTTATTCTTGAGAAGGTCGGAAGTAAGCTTGCGGTCTGGAAAGCCAAGTTGTTATCCCCAGTTGGCCGTATGGTCCACTACAGTAGTTGTCCCTACTTTATGCAAAGTAGAGCCCTTCCAAGTTACACTTGTCTTGAGTTGGATAAGATCGATCGAAATTTTCTATGGGGAGGGGGAGAAGATAACAGAACTTCACAAACTAAAATGATGTGAAGTGACCAAGCCAAAGAAGAAGGATGGTCTTGGATTAAAAAGGAGCAAACCTCGAAACCAGGCATTACTTACTAAACTTTGTTGGAGGATGATACATCAGCAAGATGATCTCTGGGGGAAAGTCCTGGCAAACAAATATATTTTTGGAAAAAACCCCAACAACTCCAACTCTTCAGCTGCATGGAAATCCATAAAGCAAAGTCATGCTCTCATTGAAAAAGGGATAAGGTGGGTGATCTACGATGGAGCCAAGACAAATTTTTGGTTCGACAATTGGATGGCAAAGGGAGCCATGAGAGCTCTCATTGAAGGACCTCTTGAGTGAGAGGAAGCAAACATCACGGTTAGGGACGTGTGGACCAATTGGGAAAATCATGGCTGCTTTATGATTTCTCTTCAACTACCTGAGGTGGTTCTCAACTTTATCTTGAACATCCCTTTCTCCCTATGACAGACCGGGGAAATACTATGCGTTGGAACTACTCAAGAACGGGAGAATTTTCTCTTAGTAGTGCCTACAAGCTTGCGGCACATGAAGACTTCCAAATCCCAACTGAAGAAAAAGGGAAGTGGACATGGATATGGAGGCTGAATTTATATCCCAAACTTCGTTTCTTCTCGTGGGAGTGCATGCATCGTCTATTGCCTACTAGGGAGTTCCTTAGAGCTAGAGGAATGGAGATCCAGGTGGACGAAACTCTTAACCATCTTTTTACCGAATGCCCTATTGTTGCACCCTGGTGGACCCTTGTCAGTGCCTCCCAGGAATGCTACTCCAACTTTAACTCTTGGAATGATTGGGTTAAAGCAAATGCTACATCAAACTTCATAACCATGAACCACAATATCCCATGGAAGGTAATGTTCACATTTTTTCTATGGAAAATTTGGAAAGCCAGAAACAAGCTTGTCTTTGAAGGTAATTTTGATCCAACAAGGGTTGTGGCTAAGGTCACTGAACGTGCCTATGAATTTAAGCTTTGATGGGCAAAACAAAAAGAATTCCACTTCCTTCCTTCATTGGGGTCCAACGGAAACCCCCTCCCTAAGGCTGGCACAGGCTTAACACAGATGGATCATCCCTTGGAAATCCAAGGCAAGAATTGGATCAGTCCTTCGTGACCACTCAGGGCGGTGGCTGGCAGGATCTTCAAGACACATACCAAGGGCCACCAGCGTAGAAGCAGAATTGTGGGCTCTTAGGGATGGCCTCAAAATGGCCAGTGAAGCGGGAGTTCAGAAACTTGTGGTTGACTTGGATGCTATGGTGGTGATAAATCTGATTAATAATCTTGACCACAGCAACTTGTTTCTGAATACTCGTCTGTGATTGCAGGATTCTATTGAAGAGTTTCCAACAGACAGTGCTGATGCATACCTTCTGTGAAGGAAACAAAAGTGCCGATGGCCTCACTAGGAGGGGAAGCGAGGTCTTGCCGGAATCTTCTTCCCATGTTTCTAGTCCTTTCCTTTTTGAATTCTTCTTATCTCCCTTTTATTAGCTGAGACTAATGGGATGATGATATATCGTACTTTATTTTCATGATCTGTGAATGTTTCCTTTCTCCACAAAAAAAGAAAAAAAAAACATAAATGTTAGAAGCAAAAGATTAAAAAAAATATAGTTCCTGTGAGAAAAAATCCATTAAACTGTTAAAACTACATAAAAAAAATTATAATTCTGGATAATGCTGATAAATGATAAGCAATGCTTATCACTGATTGGGAGGGAGTATTTGATATGTTTAAGCATTATGAAATTTGAAACCTCGCATTAGTCAGAAGAATTGTTGCAACAATTTCGTCCTCATTCAGGCTCGCAGACTACATACACAGTAGAACAGCCAATTACAATTGACTTTTGCCATTATAAACCGGAGAGGAAACAGAAAAGAAAAACAAAGAATAAAATCAATTTGATTCAGTTTCAACTAAGGCTTCTGAAACATCATACTTGAATCAGTGATGTTATTTGTGTTTGAGAAAGCACAACCGCAAGCCTTCTTTCCTCAAACGACTGTTCAATCTCTTCAGGGATTTCTTCCACTGGTTTGGTAGCAGTGAAAGGTATTGGTGGAGCCGGTGTCATGGCTGTCTGCATCGGAACTGACACTGTTGAAGGTGTACAAGGCACCGGAATAGGCGTTGCCTTTGGTGTCCTATTCTCTTCGCCAACCAAACAAATTGTCTTGAAGGGAGTAGTGTATGACAGATCATTAGTCGGAAGCATTTTCTGTAAAGTTCCACCATTATCTTCTAGCTTGTTTGTCATATTGGCTTTTGATGATATTGTGGAAGAGATGGGCGAGAATGGCTTACGAACCAATGGTGACTCGGGTTCATTAGCATTTACAGCACTGGATGAGCGCTTTCTTACAGGAATGTCAGCAATGTCCAGGCCTCTCCTAACTGCACAATGGTGAAAGTGTAAAGAGATAAACAAATTTCAAACTGATCCTCATTTAAAAATATCCAAGATGATTTACTAAAACAAATGTCGATTGTTAGTTACCCTTGAAAGTAATTGAGATGTTTTTTGGTTGTAACAAGCAGAGACAAAGAACTTACCAGCTGAGAAAGCTGGAATGGTATCATCCTGTCGATGATTTAAATGGTCATTGTGAAACATTCGCTCAGTTTTCTTACTAGGACGTGTTTGAGGAGTAGCCTTTGCAGAGTGAAGTGAATCAGGTTTATGAGTGGGAAGCAATGCTCCTCCCAAGGAGACTCTTCTATTGCTTGCATCTCCAGATGAATACCTAGGACCATTTTTTACACTCTGGGGCTTTGATGGGCTTGGTTTTGACCCATAGAGTGCCTCTTGCTCTGCTATTAGCTGTCCCTGAAGTTTCTTCTGGTCCTGGAACACAAAAAGAATAGTGCCAGACTATTAGCTCAATTTCATCAAGGAATATATGTCCATAATTGCATCAATCCTGGGCCCATAACTTGGTAAAATAGTATTAACATATGCACTGCGATTAGGGAATTGGTTAATATCATACCCGCAACCTACGTCGTTCTTGCTCTTTCTCTTGTCGTAAAATAGTGTATTCTTCAAGCATAGAAAGCAGACAAATCTGGATGGTGTATAAAAGGGTCAGTTAGATGCCAAAAGTGTAGGTAAATATGGAACATAATGGTTCAACAATCAGCACTGTAGGTTATTACTCACACCATCATACAAAAATTCAACCTCTCTTTCCTTCTCCCATGCCATGGTCTTTGAAGCCAATGCCTCCACCATTCCTGGGTTAATATGATCAAACAACTTCAGCACTATGTCAACTGATTCTACTCAAAACAGGTAGAAAATAGAAACTGATTGAGAAGAACCTGAAAAATTGGGCTGCATGATGTGAAATCATAACAACAAAACCAAGCCTAGTAGTGTGAAGTTTACATTTCTTAACCTTTTATCTAGAATGTATTATTTACCTGGGAGTTTATTAACCAAGGAGCGGGCTTTCTCAGCACGCTTGAGTGTAAGATGAGCACCTTTTCCCGCGTTATATCGGTTTTCATCCTGTTGAATAACAAACCATTAAGCAAGGAAATCATACTAGAAGAACCAAAAACTAAAATCTGCTATATTCCTCAAGCCAGCACTCCTGCTAAAAGCTTTTAAAGTACTCTTTCCAGTTATATTCCTCTCTGACCCTCCTATATTCCTTTAACGGGTTTGAGGAATATAAAGCCCTGTTATATTCCTCAAGACCCTTAAAGGTCAAAGATGACAAAAAGACCCACCCTGTTGTATTCCTCAAGCCAGCACTCCTCATCACATGCCGTCAACCATTTCTCCACCTTTTCGAGTATTTCTTTCCTGCTAAAAGCTTCCTCTTTGACCTTACCAATTTGAAGTTCAAGTTGTTCTAGTATGTTAGCAGCATCAACAGCCCCTGGATGTAAAAAAGTAAGAATAACATTCAGTAGGAAGACGGGTCAAAGTGAGATATAACAGATAGTATGATAACAATAATATAGCATTGGCATGTACCAGACTCAATAGCTTCAATGGCATCTTCTATTGAACTTTCTGAATCTGGAACCAGGTGGGTCTTTCTACATATCTCCTCTAGCTCTGATCTCTTCTTGAGAACAAGCTCTTTCATTTTGCTTGACTTCAACTCTTCCAACCTATAAACTTCTGCCTCAACCTGTACGGATATATCATAATTACTTCTCTATTAATGTGGAGGAAAGCACTTAATACCTTCAAAATTTTATAGAACAAAGAGAAGATAGAGAAGATCAGTAAAATTGGCATTTAAACATGCATCACTTACATAGTTGATGAAATCCACAGAGAGAGTGTTGGGTTCAGTAATTTCATCTTCTGAAGCAGCTATATTACAGGTAACACTCTGAAATATCTGTTGCTCCTCAATGGGTGTATCCATCTGATTCCATAACTTTAACATGGTAATTGCAAGATCTTGTAGCTGCCAAGGGTCAAAGAATCATTATTATAGTCAGAGAGGAAGGAAGGGAGGGAAGGGGGGAGGACGGGGAATTTTGCAAAACACAAAATGCTGAAATTAACATTTTACCCTTTGCATCCTCTGTATCTTAACTTCCCGTAACTTATTTATCAATGTTGCCAACTGCCCAATTGTATTATTGCTAATACTCCTAAATCCTTCAGAGTCAACTAAACTAGGATGGACTTCAGTAACTGTGAGCTTGAAATCCATACCTATCACTGAGCAGAGTGAGTTCAACAAGTTAAGGTGGTCCTGAACCTGCTTCAGACGATCACACTGCACAAGGGAGAGATCATTCAGTGAGCAAAAGATAAGCATTTGTTTTCATAGGGTCAAAACAATAAAGAATTGAAAAAAAGAAAGCTGACCTTCTCTTTCTGAAGTTCATGGAGCTGTCTGTGCAATTCTTCAAGCTTCCTTAAGGATAAGTCAGTTTCATCCACAACTGTTTTGGAAGAAACTGAATCGGTGTATCCATAAATCTCATTTGTGATCTTCTGTACTTGCTCTAAAACTTCTAAAAATTGATTTCTTCTTTCGATCTTCCTTTTCTTCATTTCCTCCAATTGTGGAAGAATTTTGCTGAGCTCCTCCTTCAAGCTTCCAGCGTTTTGATCAGACTGAAAAAAGTTTGAACCATAACATAAGTGTATGGTTCAATCTAATTGGAAAATTTTCATCCAGGATTTGTTATCATTTCATTCCTGACCTGCCTAATATGCACTGGCCTCTCCCCCATTGCTGAACAGATGGCAGCAAGTTCGGCTTCAGAATCAGCAATTGTCTGTCTTAGCTGAGCTCTACAGTGATTTGCCTGATCCACCTTTCTTCTGTATACTTCCAGGCACTCTCTTTCGAGCTCAAGCAGCATTTTATCCCTGTCAGCATCTGTCTCACCTACTTCATCCCAGATTATCTAATTTTTTCATGGAATCATGAAAGTATGAACATTAGATTAGTGTTCAAATTTTTAAATAAAAACAGGATAGTTAGTAGGCATCATCTTGGCAAGAGAAAGAAAAAAGATTTGAAGGTATTTATTGCAGTGGAATGTTCATAAACCTGGCAATCTAAAATACGACACAAACACAATACGAAAAAAAAGATACAAAAGTGGCACGGTTTAAAACTTTAATAATAACTATGATTGGGTTTAAAAAAAAAAATGTATTTCATGTTTTTGTTTCGACATGAATTGTGACACATAATGCTCATGTAAAATACAGCATGAATACACAAATTTCAGTATTTTACACCATACAAATATACAAATTGCCAGGTCTAAATGTTCATCAATACCTGAAGTTCATATAGAAGGGTTCCACACGTTGTTTCCACTTGAAGAAGTGGATCACTTGGCGGAGTAGACATGTTGAATAATTCCTGACAAAACCATTATCTTCAGAAATCAGACAACACCCAAAGTTATGCATACAATAAAGCAAGCATTGAGAGGGAAAAAATAAACTGAGGTTCCAGATGGTATAAAAATTTGTAAAAGATAGCTAATACCGGTTCAGATCAATTTTAGCTGGAAGATTGAGAAGTGAGAACAATGAAACCGGAAAAACAATGTTGCAGTCGCTAAGAAAATAAGCTGAACATTTAAGCTTGCATTGAGATATGAAAATGGATACTTATTTCCATGTTTCCAACTAGACAAAGTCATACTCTAAATTCATAACTGAAGAAAACGATAAAGTAACTTTTTTCTGAACTATTATAAGTAGAAATTTAAGGACCTGTCAAGAGCAGCAGCAGCATCCAAATTCAATAGAGTGGTTGTTCTAGACATCGAAAAATGTTACTATTTTAGGCAAATAATGAGTATACAGGATTTTGGATTTCCATCAGTTTTTCTAAATTAAATATAAAATGAAATTTAAACTATGAGTTCATTACAAATAAAATCTCAGGATGAGAAATGCCAAAGAAAAGAGAAAATGATAATTTAAAAACTATAGATGATATTAGATCCATTACCATCAGACAACCCTAAATCCATAAAAATCTTACTGTAAAAAATCAAATGCAAGCTCTAAAGATTGACCTAAATTTTGAGGTCAAATACTAATGGAAACAGTTTTAACCAACTTGACTACCTCTCAAGAACACACTAAATCACGATTTTATTCCACAAATTTCAGTTATAAAAAAAAAAATCAGAATGAGCTATTACATTAACATAAAAAGCAAAATAATTGGCCTCCATTTTCATGAAAAATGAAGAATAGGGGATATAAGCTTTAAGCTCTCCTCTTGTTTTTTCTCTCTACATTTTCTTGTCAGCCAAATTTAGCAAGAAATTGAAGGAAAAAAAAAATGGAGAGTTGGAGACAAACCTTAACAATTCAAACGAAAAGTTTTTCCTCTGAAAGATCTGTTTTTCTTAGAAAGAGTGAAAATTTTCCTCAGAAAATGTAGGTTTACCCGTCAAAAAAAGCGAGAATTAAGGTTTGAATTTTTTATTTGCAACAACAAGGACCGAAGGTTGAGAGAGAGAGTAGGCGTTTATGGAAAAAGGACCGTTGGAGAGCGCTGGTTATGGATTTGTTTTTTTATGATGGTAAGGATGGATTCACTAGGGACGAAGACGATTTGAATTTCAAATCCGACGAGGGGGCGGCCGCGATCTCGTGTACCAGTTTGCTACGGATTTTGGCGATGAACCGTTTGATTATTTTATGACTTCGGAATCGAACGAACGAGAATGGTTACAGTCACGAGATAGGCTGTAGGAGGATTGCATACTGTGATTCCCTAGGAAGAGGTTTTAGAGGACACATAGGATTTGGACACGTCACCATCAGGGTGCCCCATCGAATTGCGATTTGCATGCATCCGCTTATGTTCGGAGGATTAATTACTGTGAAAACAAATTCAAAACCATTTGAAAATTTCCTTTTCATCAAATACTAATAATTTCAAAAAAAAGAATGTGAGATCTATGTGAATACACTGGCATTTGATATACCTCAATATTGATGGATGATGTCAATATTTCAATCCGCGACAACAGGTAATTTCTCCCCCAAACTCCCTTCTACCTCACTTTAACCATACATCTTACCGAATATGTTACTGTTTCAATTACAAAATCACAATTATGTGGGATTCAAACACATTGATCCTTATGATGAAAAGTTTTGGTCGCCCTCAAATTCTCTTGTTACAATTTCAAGCACTAATTCATTCCAGGTATCAACTGGACCTGGCATGCACCAGTGCAAGCAATCTTGAGGTGGAGGCTTTCCATCAGGACCACGTTTTGTGATCTTATTTGGATCGGGGTTCCTGTAGGGCCCAGGATGCCCATCATGGCGATACCCAAAGGCTTCTGTAATATCCATCAACCTCAACTTGGACTTATTCGTTGCTTTCTTAACAGCACGTTCAAAACCTGTCAACTGTTTGTTGTGCATTATATTTGTAAACCCATTCTCCACTAATTCACCGGTTGCAAGAGGCTTTACCTTCCCTGTGCATGATCCACCTGTATTCCAAGCTCCACCCTCATAATGATCAGGAGAAAAAGAACGTACGATGGTCAGGCCTGTGTAATTCGGATGCGTAACAATTGCAGACAGAATCGTCTCAATAGATATTCCAAATGCATCAATATTATTGACCTTCATAGGACGAGAACGATCTGGCCACCATAATTGTCCTCCCACAATCTCGTTGCTCAAGATATAGACAGACTGTTTGGCAAACCAGTGGCCAGAAGAAATAACAATCACATCAAACTTTGGGATGAATTCCATGAAGTTATTATCAGGCGCATCAAGATGCAGCTTGGTAACGCCCTCTGGAGCAAAGTCAAAATTTTCAGATGTTTGATGGACAAGCCAAGAGGACCATATCCGGACAATCATTACAGATGTTGACCTGAAATACCACCGTTGCATTCTTCGGTTTCCTTGATTTTTTGGAACTTCAACCTGAATTTATCCCATAATTTTTTTATCATGAGAAACCAGTGCTAAGGTAGAAAAGAGTCAAACGATCAATATATCTAAAGAAAAAAGATGCACACATACAAACCTAATTTCTCACACTTAAAGAGTACAGAGTGCTAGAAAATTACTACTAAAATATTTACTAAAGCTAATAATATATGAAACCTCTAGCCACATGAGCATATCACAAAGCAACAACCAATGAAATTGCTGAAAGTGAAAAAACTGATTAAGAGAATCAAGAATGCTACTGTATTCTTGGTTAGAAAAATTATGGTGCAAACTTGCGCCAATCTTATAGGTTACTGTGGGACAATTTTTTGTTCAGAAATAACTGGCACTTTAAGAAATGCAGATACTTGCCTGCCAGAGAAGACACAGCATTGATTCCATCTGATTTCGAGCTACAGAATCACCAATGAAAGCAAGTGTCTTTCCTCTCATCAACTCTAGAAACTTTTTGGCATCAAATCTGGGGAGATCACATTTAGAGGGTTTCCAACGCCAATTCTCATATTCCTTGTCAGTTCTCCCATTACCCTGGCAATTCTGCATCTGTGTTAAGACTGGGCAAGAGTTGTTGGTGTATAACGGCCCTTGTGGATCATAGAACCAGTTTCCATGGTACAGGTCACAGCCTAGAGAGCAACCAATCAAAGTCAGAACCAGGATCTCAATGAGGAAATGGAGAGAAAATGTAAGATGCAAATACATTAGAAGGAACACTTGGAAGCTAGCATTGTTTCTTACAAGTAAAAGAGATCAAATAGGGATCAAATAAGAGATAAATGGACCTTTATCTCTCTCTCTTTTTTCTTTGTAAATTATCAGATATTTCTGATAGCAGTTTACCAGCACATAAGGAAAATTAAAATTGAATTAAAAAACTATTATCAGATACTTCTAATAGTAGATTATTGGTTGTAAAGGAATTCAACATTCAAATGCATCCATTTCTCAACATTGCTGCATAAAATAGATAATTGACCACAAAACATTTTAATAATCACATTCTGCATTTCTTCCCTCTGCTTGAAGAAACTTTTTTCCAGAATCTGGGGACAAAAACGTAAGCAAGGCCTAAGACTTGAACAAATTATACACTATTCCTGATAAATAAACCATGTAACAGAGAGCTACCATGTTAGAGAACTAGGATAAAGCTTGTGAGGAAACATAATAAACCAGTATCAACAAGTTCCTATATGTTTCCAGTATAAGATGCAGATTCCACCTCAACTATAGCAAAAACTATCAAACAAATATGTATGGCAGGTAACAATTGATCTAAATTCAGATATTATGTGAAAACAAGTGTAAAAGGAATGCTACCTGAAGCAACTGAATTGCCCTCAGATGCATTGCCAGAGGCAGAACTGGAAGTGTCCACCTCCTTTTCTGTTGATCTAGGTGACAGTTCTGACAGTGCTACAGGTTTCTCTGGCATCTCATTGTCTTTTGAATCATCTGAACCTTTGGGACTAGAAGGCAGCTCTTTATTAGACTCAGAAGGCAACGAATCCTTATCAACAGAAGATCTAATGGATACTTGTGCATTTTCATTATTATCAACAACAGTACTATTTGAACTCATTGTGTGCAGTTCTAAATTTGACCCAGATGATGAATTGTTATGATTGTAATCTACATCCTTATCAGCACGTTGATCAAAGGTAGAAGCAGGCAAGACTATTTTCCTATCAACACCATAAAAATACCCTTTAACAGTTGAACTTATTGGATATGAAGGTAGAAGACAAGAAGCAAAAATCAGGAACATTGCTAGTAAAACCACTGAGGCTGCAATGGAGGAAAGGCTCCGCGAGAACGCAGCCATTTTAGGAAAGCCTTTTGGGGAAGCCAATGTCGTGGTTTCCTTTTTAGGGAAAGTCCTACAAAGAATCGTAAGGCATGAAACCTTTGCAGACAAACCAACCAACTGCCTATGATTGAAATGTTCCTTTGACGAATCTGAGAAATAGTGTTTTTGAAAATGACCCACCAACAAAAGACTTCTAAATGCATGCGAATCAGTTTGCAAGGCCCAAACCGTCTTTTCCTTTCCACATACAAAGAGGGAGAAAACTTTTCTAAAGTTTATTGAATCTTCTTCCCTGATCGAGGATATCTGGAAAATCCTCTTCACGAATCTCAAAACAGCACAACTGCTTGGAGAGACTAGAATTCCTCCTCCTATCCTGAAAAAACAAGACAAATCTCACACGTTAATGGAAGGAAAAACAAAACAAAATCAGAAAAAAGAAGAAGCGTGATTAAGATGGTCATTGCTTAAACTTGGAGATATTCACATCAAATAGGGGAAAAATCTTCAATTCTTAAGGAAATAGTCAAAATCTTTCAACATCCTTTCTGAATAGAAGTTTTATGTTTGACTATAAGCACATTATCAAGCTTTAATTGAATATCTCAAAGAAGCTCCGCATGAATGAAAAACCAAAAAATATAAATAAATGGATTTGAATGCCGATAGGAAATTTAAACCTGAAATGCAACTTGAAACTTACAATGTTCATAGAAAGAAGAGGAGGGTTTGGTAATGAAATGAAGATTTCGCGATCTTAGAGAGAGCGAAATCGGCACGGATATAGAGAGGGGACAATTGAGGGAAAATCTCGTAACGGTTGAAAGGGAATTTTAATGTAATTATATTGAGGGATGTTTAAAAAATAAATAAAAATGATGAGTATTTTATGCCGCACCGTGTTTCTCTTGTTCCCTGCAACTCCCTAGTTGCCTTGTATTTCACTATTTCTCCGCCAGAAAGAAGGTAAAGCTGATAAATTACCTGACTGCCCACGCTTCCAGTTTTCCAGTTTTCCACTTTTTTTTTTTTAATTTTTTAAATCTCCGAATGACACCGTTGTGATTTGTAAATGCATAACGCTCGTTTGTTTCGTAAAAAATAAAATTTAAAAATAATTTTTATATTTTTAAGTATTTATTTGATAAAAAATTTACTGATTAATGAAATATAAAATTATTTTTTAAAATTATCTTACCCTATTAAAAGAGAAAAATAATTTTTGAAAAAAATTAGCTATGAGTATAATTACTTATCAATGTATATAAGTATAATTTTACTTAAATCAAATCTTATACATAATTTTTTTTAAGCTCAAACTTAATTTGATCAAATTTAAAATATTATTATATTAATAAATAATATTTTTATTTAATTTTACTACAAAAATTAAATATTAATATTAAAAGTCTCTTAATATTTTAATTTTAAATATTTTTATAATTTTACTCAAGTAAGACTTTGAACATAATGTTTTAAATTTGAATTTGATTTAAATTGACTTAAAATATTATTATATTAATAAAAATATTTTATTTAATTTTAACTAAAAATTAAAATATTAACATTAAAAGTATTTTGCTATTTTAATTTTAAATATTTATTTTGTATATTATTAAATTTAAATATTTTTAATATTTCAATAATAAATAGTATTATATTATTATTTTAATAATAAATAATAACATATATAATTATATTTTTATTATTTTACTAATTAATGTTAAATAATACAATAATATTATTTTCTTAATATGAATATTTTGAATAATTTCATTGATTTAATGTGAAGAAAATTGTTATTTAAACTTGGTTTCGTAGATATCTTTTTGCAATAATAGTAGAAAAAAAACAAATACAAAATTATAAAATAAAAAAATTTACCCAATGAAACAAGACTATTATGGCAAACAGATCGTGTCAGTTCATTTAAAAGAAAAAGAAAGTAGGGAGAGATCAATTTTGGTGGATTGAGGTTGCTTCAAATAATATATATTTTAAATTTTAAATTTAATCTCTGATTTATATTTATTTAACTCATAAAGACATTATATGTGAAATTTATAATTTTTATAAAATTCCTTCTGGCCGACTGTAGGTCTGGTTTGTAATAATCGACCCTCAAATTTTTTTAAAGATGAAATCGGCCCTCATTAATTCATCAACTTTTGCCACTCTCTCGTTTAAGGATGACATTGGATCGGGTTCGGGTCGGGTTCGAAATGGATTTTGCTCGCCTCGAATTCAATCTGATTTTATATTTTTATTAAATCCGATCCGATCATATTCGAATTTTTTAAATATTCGAATTCGATCCGATTCGATATTATATAAATCGTATTCGATCTGATTCGATTCGAAATTAATAAAATATTATTTTTTAAATATAAAATATTATTTTTTAAATATAAAATATTTAAAAATATCATTATATAAATATATATAATTACTTAATTAATTAAAAAATAATTTTTTAAATAATATCAGATCGAGTTTTAAACATATTCGAATTCGATTCGATTATAATTATCACATAATTTTATCTAATTTGATCCCGACCTAAAACTTAAAATTTTAAAAAAAATTTGATCTTATAAAATTGAATCAAATCAAAACTCATTGAAGATAGACTCGATTGCCGTCCTTACTCCCATTCATCTTGTAATTATTTTTTTGTAACTTTCCAATTCATCGTGTATGGTTTGCGGGTAGTAGTTGTAATACGGTAGCGTGGGGTCGACACGGCTGGTGGGTGACAGGTGTAGGTTGAATGACCCACTCGCTAAAGGTTAAAATAAAGGCTCGCGCTCTTCATTTAAGCTTCAAACTTCAAAATCTCCTAGCCGACTTTAAATTTTGATTTTTAAATTAAAATTTTAATATTTTATCACGATTGTTAAATTTTTATTATATTATAAAATTATATTTTTAAATTTAAATTTAAATTAATAAAATTAAAATTTTAATATTTTTATCACGATTGTTAAAATTTTATTATATTATTATTATTCTTATATTATACTTTTATTTTTTTATGTTTAATTTGAAGCATGTTCATGAAATATTTATTTATGGATCTCAAGAATAAGAAAAACTATTTTTACTTGTTTTATTTGTTCATGATATGTTTGGTTCACAAAATAAATTAAATAAGAAATGAAATTGCTATTATGCAGGAATAAAATAGAAAAGCAAATAACCTTTTTAAGATTGGTTTATTAAAATGGAATAGAAGAGAAATATTGTGAAGATGTTTGGTTGGTTAAAATTATACCAAATAATAAGAAAGGAATAAATGTAAAATACTATATTATCCCTCAATAAAAAAGTAATTTTAATTAAAAATCTAATATAATTCATTAATATGTTTAAATGTATATTAATTATAAAAGTCTAAAATTTTTAATTAAAAAAATTACTTGAATATCTATCCCTCCTTCGATCTTCATTTTTATTTTTTTCGTTTGTTGCAGAATCTCGTTTTTTCCCTTGCAATTACAAAAGTTTACTTTGAATCAAGTACCATGCTCTTCTGTCTCTTTCTCCAAATCCACTCGTCAATATTTTCCCAACCCAAAACCCAGAAAAAAACTGTACTTAGCCTCTTGCTTTTCTCATCAAATCCAACTTGCACAGCCCTGAAGTTTGCAAGTTTAACAAAATTCATAGCTACCCTTTGGCAATATCCAAGATTTGAGCACCGAAACAACTCATTTAAGCAATGTCTATAAAAAGCCATCTAAGAAACCAGGATCCCATGTTATACGGACAGAGAAATAAAGAAAAAAAAAGAATTGGACAAAATTGGAATTATAAAATATTTATAAGAACAAAATTATGAATAAAATTAAATTAAATAATATCATATCATTTTATATTTGATGTATAAAAAAATTAAGATATAATAATTTATTGATTGATCAAAATTATATTTTCTTAAAATTTATATAATTAAATTATTGATGTAATTTTTTAAGGTATAATAAAATATATAAATTTAATTTCATAAATTAAAAATAATTTTTTATTCTTTCAAAAAAGAATATTATCCTATTGACATAAAATATTTAATCTTTTTATTTAAATACATAATAAATATGTAATAAGATAATTAATATTTTATCATTCAACAAATCCTATATGTTAAACTTTCTATTAAAATATTAAGTTTAAATCTCGTTATGTGTTAATTTAATTATTTAATTAAAATTATAATTTATTAATCAATTATTTAGTGATATAATACTTAATTATGAATTTAATTATAAATATAATTTTAATAAAAAAGAACATTACATGTATAAAAATTTTATTAATTTAAAATGATTATCTGTGTATGAAATCAAAATCAAACAATTTTTATTTTAAAACTGAGAAAACAAAAAAAAATCGAATCAAATAATCCTCCCAATTTTGAGGAGTGTCGGCCATCGATGATCAGCCAAAAGAAATTCAGGGCTTTCATAGACAATCGGTAGCCCCCGAAAGACAACTTTCTAAACTCCAACATCCATTTCCCTGGCATCTATCCGCTCAGATAAAGTGAGTGCCTCACTTATTTCAGCCGAGAATCTGAGATTGCCAACTCAAAACCAAATTAATACTACCATCACCATATCCATGCATTCCTAAAACATTTTCATTTCTCCTCAAAATCTCCAGTTTAATTTTCTCTTCCTTTTGAATGACTACCCTCGTTTCTTCCATTTGCGATTTCCACTTCCCAATCTCTCTCTTCCGAACGCCACAATTCTTCTTTTAGCTCTCTCTATGGCAACAAGCTTTTACTTCAAACCTCCAATTTGTGCCGTTTCGTTACCAAACGCCTTTCCTCAAACACCACCACCGTGTCGTTTAGCCTCGCAACTGCATAAGTCTGAATGAAATTTTCTGCAATGATAAATTCGAGAATTACCGATTAGTTCAAACCTTTTTCCGTTGATTTTGTTTTGCAGGAAACCAGAGAGGGAGCCTTCCGAGAAATCCCCAAAGTGAGTTTATACTATAGAATAAACATATGCTCATATACGTATGTATACGTATTGTACATGTACATATATGTGTATACTCTGAGGATTTAAGCGAATTCTATATTGGATTGATGGTTGGGCTTCTTCTTTTTGCGAATAATTGTTTGGAATTGGGTGATTGTGATGTTTAGATGGTCGACAAGATCAATAAAGTCGTTTGCAATGGCGGAATTGGAGGCAAGGAATATCAAGTATCCAAATACCAGAACCGAATCGCTTCTCATGGGAATTCGGGTCGTGGGTTAGTATTTTATTTGCCATTTTAGCTCACTACGTACTGTTGTAGCATCATTTAACACACTTCAAAAAGTACTTTAGAAAATTTTCTTGTGGACTTGGATGAAAAACCCGTTTCTGTTGGGTAATTGTGGTGAAAAAAATGTCATTCTCAGTTTTTCACTACTGTGGTGTTATCTTTAATTTGTTTGGGATCATCAGGGTATGCACTGTGAAACAGAAGCTTCTATATAATTAAGTAGGTGTTCTTAATGCCACAGAAGTATGTAAGAGGTGTGAAATCGTCTGCTTAGGAATGTTAACTTGATGCTCTGCTTAAAGCAGGCTAAACCTACCCTCTCAGCCCCTATCCAGAGAAGGGGAAAAAGATATCTTAAATGAGCTAGTATGAATTATGAACAAAAACGTATATTATCTTTAAACTTAAAAGAATATGATGCCATTGCAAGAAAGTCATATTGTCTTGCTTTTGATCTCTTTGATGGTTGAAAACTTTTTAATTGTTTGTCTGATACACATTTTCCCTGGTAACGCCTCTTTTTCATGTACAGGAACAAGCCAAGCTGCAAAATTTTTTAGGGCTAATGGAATTACACTTTCAAGGTACGAAAGGAAACAGTGAACTTACTCGGAAAGTCGGATATGTCTTTTTTCAGCCCTGAACATCCTCCATTAACCGAATAAGCTCAAAAGGTCCTTGATTGGGCTGTTGAAGAAAAACTAAAGTCATGTAAAAGAAATTTTTTGATTCTTCATTTGTTATATTTATCATGCCTTATAGAAGTTTAGAAGCGTATGTGTAGGGATGGATATGGAAACATGGTGCAGCATGATGAATGCAAATTAATCATGGTTAAAGGCCCAACAATTTTATGGTGTGGAGTTGGTCTAATTCTTATTTTTCAATTTTGAAAAGGAACTGGTTAAAAGGTAATTATATGGAATTGATGGAAGATTAGAAGACTGATTTGAAAATTAAACCTAATACATAAGTATTAAATCAACAAATCTTGTCTGACTAAGTGGAATATTAGTTGCTGCTACTTACATATATAGGTGGGAATTATAGGTCTTGGTTTCCATAGGAGTCAGTTTTTGACATTATCAGAAGAAAGGAGGAGGATGAAACAAAATTTTCAGTTCCATTTTAAGGAATTGACCAGGTTGTAAAAATTAATTGTCAAGCTAGAGAAATGACCTGTCCTTTATGTTTACTAATTTCCTGACAGTTGTGTAAAATCTATGTCTTAAAATAAAGCGGATTATCATTCTTAAGGATGACTGTTCTAATATTAAAATTTAAGGATGGCACTTGCACTTATGTACCCTTTTGCATGTTGGGTTGGCTTACGATAATTTGAAGATCATGATGTACATGTTTTAAAAAATTATGAAGCAGTTAACGGTTAACACTAAACTATCCTATCTGCCACAATAAGAAGTAAGAACTCTACAGGCGCTAATGTTTACATGTGCCAAACTCCACATTTCTTCAACAGCTTCTTTTTCTTCCTTTCTCCATGTTTCTAAATGTTTGAGATTTGGTATGAACTGGGCAGGCTGTTGTGAATAATGAGTTCTTTTTTTTCAATATGTTATTCCTTATTTCAATCATATCATTATCATATCATCTTTGAACTGTTATTTCTTCATATTTAATTGAGATGATCGTGTGAAGTGCAGGTGAAAGTGGGGAAATAACCACAACTTATTTGCTTCTTGGTATTTGGTCTGAAAAAGAATCAGCAGGCCACAAGATCTTGGCCATTTTAGGTTTTAATGATGAGAAAGCCAAAGACCTTGCAAAATATGTAAGTCTGAAGAGTTCTCTTTTAGATCATTGAGCAACAGCCTTTATGGCTTTGTCATTAACGTGTTTTTGTTTTTTTCTACAGATTAAAGAGGATATTGTTTCGAATTATAAGTAGGAGGTCAAAATTCTCTGCTTTTTCCAAGTTTGTACCAGCTTTGATGTCTTCCAAATAGTAGATACTTTGTGGTGGAGCAAGTATTGTTGCTTACGAGGGTTTTCCGCCCCTGTTAGTGGTTCAAAGTTCAATCGTGGATACCAATTGCTTTTTAGGAATTAGCATGAAATGTTCAGAGCTGTATTTTTCTCATGAATGTGTAACTGTCAGGGGCGATGATGCATGTTCCTGGTGCTCCTCTAATTTGCTTAGGCCGGAAGTTCATCTTTGTATCAAATTAGAGGATCTGAATGACTTGGCGGATAGAAAATTACTTCTCAAGTTATGGAAAGATCTCTTTGCTTGAATGAGGTGAATCCCCCCAGTTTGGTCATGGTTGCTCAAGCTCTGGCATTATTACAAAGTAAAGGATTTTTTTTTCTAAAAAATATTTGGGTTAAAGTTTGATCCATCTTGTTCATCTACTCTTTTTGTTATTCTTTTATCCTTTTATCTCTCCACTTTTTTAGTTTTTTTTTTTATAAGTACACTAGATCAAATCTTTCGTTATAGAGTGAGTTCAAATCTAGTATGGGTAATTTTTGTTTTAACTGGTCAAATTTCCCGTTGAAATTTCATTTATATAATATATATATATGTATACTTTGAGTAGGGATTCACTTGTATTAATATAAGTTTTATACTAACACTTACATTTTATTAATTTGATAAGGGTAAAAAAAAATGTAATATTTATATTAATATAAATGGATCATTCCTCATATCCCTTAATTTAACTGTAATAATTATTTAACTCTAATATATATATATATAGATATGTATTCATATTTTTAATAATATTTACATATTTTTACAAATCTAATAATATTAATATTACATTTTGTATAAGCTTATTTTATTGTTTATTATTTTTATTTTCATTTCATTAAATTCCAATAGATTAAATTTTTAAAAAAATATTTATCTAAATAAAATAATTGCAAATGTTAGTATTTTGAGATGATGCATTTTAAAATATTTTTATTTCAAATTTTTTCAGAATTTTAAACTTCTTAGTTTCAATCACCTCATATAATTATTCTAAATTGTTTATTTTATAAATATTCATTTAAAAATTCGTATTTGAATTTGATTAAATTAAAAAGTTTTCAATTAAAAATTAAATTTTTAATTTCAAATTTGTATTTGAATTTGACTCAATTAAAATTAATTTCAATTCATTTATTTTAATTTGTACATTTTAAATTTTAAAATTTCAAAAATTATACACATAATTTTATCATCTATATTATATAATAAAAAAATCTCCTTAAAATTATTATAGTACTCCTCCAATTATTTTATAATTATTTGACACATGTCCAAAAGTGCAATAATATTCTTCTTACTCTCATTATTAGTTAAAATTACTATAATACTCCTCCCACTATGATTATGAAATGAAATTGTTACTCTTACCATAATTGACCAAGTATAATTAAAATTAATTTCTTTTAAAATTATTATATTAGCCTTATAATTATTTGATAATTGTTTGATATGTGTTCAAAAGTACAATATTACCCATGCTTTCATAACTAACTAAAATTATTATAATATTTCTTTTATCATAATTACGAAAATATCATTTTTACTATAATTGATCAAAATTACTATAATATTTTTTATCATAATTACAAAAATATCCCTCATATCATAATTAGCTAAAATTACTATAATAGCTTATCTACCATGCATGTTGAAATGATATGTAATATTTTGTTTGAAATTTACTATAAAACCCATATTAAATTATATATTAAATCTTATCATAATATAAAATTAACTACATTAAATTACTAAATACCTTTATTGCTTCATGAAAATTACATAAAATTTAACAACACATAAAATTATTATAATAAATCAATCTATATAATATATTAAAAGCAATCTCATTAAGAAATTACTATAATACCCTTCTAATTAATTAATTAATAACTAACACTTGTTCAAATTTACTATAATACCCTTTCTTCCATAATTAACTAGAATTAATATAATACTCTCCTACCATAGTTATGGAATAAACCTCATAATATTATTGATCAAAATTACTATAATACCGTTCTTACAATAATTATGAAAATGTCTTCATACCATGATTGGTGTTAATTATTATAATATCACTCCTACCATTATTATGGAATGTCCCCTCTTATCATAATTGACTAAAATTACTATAATATCGTATTAAATTATATAATAAATTTTAATAAGTTATAAAATTAACTACATATGAAATTACTAACATAATCTTGCAATTGCTTCATGGAAATTCGATATGTGGCAATTTATAAAAGTTACGATAATAACTCTATTAAATTATATATTAAATTAATTACATAAGACTTAACTATATATTAATGACTAAAAATCTATACAATATATTGAAAGTAATCTCTCATGAAAATTATTAAAAATAGATATTTATTAATGTTAAAATAATAAATATATTAAAAATAAATTTTGA